GTTAAAGAGAGAAAGAAATGTTAATAAAAAAGAGGAGGAAGAAGAAGAAGAAGAAGAAGTAGAAGCAAGTAGCACACAACAAACAATTGCAAAATTTTTTTTTATAATTTTTTTTTTTTTTTTTAGGAAATTTAGTAGGAGACATCGAGGGTAGAAGAATAAACGAGTAAGAAGTATAATGGAGATATATATATATAAATGAGAATTCGGGAAAAAGAGATGCAGAAGTTTATTTATTATGAGTAAATTTTGTAACGATAAATTGTGAGAAAATGAATTCTAACGTCGGCAGTGCATAAGATTAATATGCAAAACAAAACAATTACGAGTAGTCGAAAATGTGATTGTGAAAGAATTTGCTTGATGGGGTTCTTCGAAATGTCACGTTGTGTGAAAAAAAAAATTAAAATGATTTGCACTGCAGTCACCTATCCGCGGACATATTTTTCGACCCGCGGTAACAGAATTTTTAGACAATCTTGGTTGTATATCCTCCAGTACCGAGTAATTATTTCTGGAAAATCTAAAGTATAATTTCCATAAATCTGAATACGTTGAATACTAATCTGCGCCATACTAAGATCATAAGTATTTATGTGAAAGAATTATTAGCTTAAAAACGTAAGCAGTGTCATGTCGTATGAGCAACATTTTGTCAACGGAGGAAAATGATGAAAAAGTGTAAAACTTAAATCTCAGCAAAAACGGCTTTTGGTTGATACATACCGAACGGTTATCGCAAAAGAGTTAACAAAATAAATTTTATTACCCGAAAAAAGCTATTAGTGTCATAGCAGGTAGCCATTTGGAAATTACCGTCAACGTTGAATTTGTGCAGTTTCAACATAAAAATTTTCGTACAGAAAAGTAACAAGTATTCGGCGCTCTGCTTTAATTCTTTGTATTAGTAAAATTTATACTTTCTAACTCGAAAAGAGAAATTTCAAGAGTTTGAGGAATATCTAAAATCCAATGTCGAAGAAAATTAGTAATATAAAATACTTATTGATCTTATTGTACAATGTGACATCATTGTTGCTAAAGTGGAAACAGAGTTTAAGAAATTTGGGACAAAAATCTATCTAAACACAACAAGTTTCGAAAATTTATAATAATGAGGAGAATTATCTGCGAATATAAAAAATATTTTTGGTAAACATAGAAACATAGAAATTTTTCTAATTAGTTGAGAAAAAAAGTTTATCGCTTTGCCGTACTCAATAGACTTAATAAATAGTGATACAAAATGTATTGTATTTATGTATATGTACATATATTATATAAGTGAGTTAAAACACCAAAACTGGAAACATGAAATTGCGATGAATTTCTGAAATTGTGCAGTACGAGTATGTGGTTTGAGTTTGGTAAATTTAAACTTTTACTTATAACCTAAATTCAAGTTCAAATGTTGAAGTTTTAAATGTAACTATATTTGTAAATACTTCTCATACTTTTCATGAACATGAAATGGTCAGATAACTTTAGTCTGATCAATAATCCGTCAAATAGCATTCAAACGTGAAATTTTGATTTGAAATTTGATATGCTCATTGAAGGAAGAATGGCTTTCAGCTTGATCGAAGGCTGAATTTCTTTCTTGCTACTTTAATAATTTGTTCTTTTTTCTAAAGAAACCATATTTGAGAGTATTTCAGTTACATTCTAAAGTTAGAATTAAAAAAAATGTTTCAAATCTTTTTATTTCCACATAAAAAAAACTTACGCGCAATTTCATTTTGATACCGAAATTATAAATCAAACCATTTGACACATCTTAAGAAATCACTCCAATCCTTTAATTATTCCACATGCAGTGTAAATTTCCAACGTTAGGGTACGTCATCTGCTAATTTACATATATTTACATATTCATTTCATTCAACAGGATAATCTAAAAGGAGAATTTCATATATCGAATGCAAAAGATGCCCGTTACGATTTCAAAACTGAGAAAATATGGTGATTTCGATTTGTGGAATATGATACGTTCCACTTGGTGTGCGATTTGGTGTTCAAAAACGAAAACGGTACAGTGAAATTCGGAACATGACATCACGCTTAGTTTTGGATGATGAATTGAAGCGAAAGAATTGTGAAGATGAGCATAAATGAAATATGAAAGCAAATGTATTGTATTTGAATTCGAAACCGAGCCATTTCTTGCAATGATATTCAAAAAGGTCATTCTTTTTTTTTGCTGAAAAAAACTCTTTTGCTATTAGCTGTGTTCGGTAAGAAATGCCAGTAAGAATTAGTCAGTAATGAAAGAAAACAATTTCTACAGTCTTCACCGAACAGGATTCAGTAAAAATTAGACAGCTATTCACTTTGTATCTTTGATTTCGTTCATTTATAGTTTTCTGCTTTTAAATATTCTCAGAAATATAATATATTTTTTTCTGAAAGCCCTATGAAAAGACAAAGATGAATGCAAAACCGAAACAGTTTCTTGCCTAGATTTTTAGGAATATAAGTGAAATACGAAAATTAGTTTAGAAGTCTTTTTAGTATAGGCCGTCAATATTAACTGAAATTTATTGTATAATTTTGATTATTTTTAATAAAGCTTTATTTTTTCTTTTAAAAATTGCTAATATTTCATTTTGTGCACCGTCCTCGTTCTCGAAAGCTTAAGAATGCTTCGATAATGCGAATGCTAATTTCGTCGTCATTGCTTTCTAGTAAATTAAAAGAGACCAGCATAAAATAAGAATATTTTTTGAATTCAATATTCCTAACATCCAATTTATCAATGCAAACTGTATGGTTTGTGAGCACTAAATAACCTTTACTGCCAACACATTTTCGTTTAACGAGTACTATAATTAACTATTTTATTGAATCATTTATTTTATTCGGGTAAATCAAACAAAATTACAGTAAACCACATACTTTGTTAGGATATCATTCATATTAAAGATTTAACGTTATTTGCATTTTAAATCAATTTCATTTTATGGACAAAAATGCAGCCAAATCATCACAAATCAGCTGACTGGGTTTTACTGCCTGAAAATTTCTCAGCACGAACTTGCAGCTTTCTCTCCAAGCTAAATATCAAAATTGCGCTCTTTCGTCACTAATTATACTGGCGTTTCGCCTCACCGAACGCGATGCAGTAAAATGCGGTAAGAATTATTACTGCCCAACTGGTTACCGAACAGAACTATTAACTTAAGGTAGTTGTCTGCTTTAGAGGCTTCACAAAATGGATTGTTTTTGTTCTTAAATCTATTCTAAAATTTTCCAAGAATAAGTCTTCAAAATGCTATTGGCTAATTCGACATATTTTACAAGCTAGAGCAGTTTTAGTGGCCGGGTGTCGAGCAGGTTCGAACCTTCGGTCAGGCTTTGAAGCGCAGTTTCTCGAGTTTCATTTTTGCAAGTCAGGTTACAAGTCTTTGAAAAGGACGCCGGTAAAAAAAAGTTATGTCCGATCGAAAAAAGAATAAATTATCTTCTATATGAACTAAAAGAGTTGAACAAAAGTATCATTTAAATTGTTTTTGTGGCAACTTAAAGTATAGTTCTTCTTCAGAAAAGTAAATTTTTCTTTCAAACTTCGAAAAAATTTGGAATTTTCCACTTCTACGGTATTCTTTTATTTTATATAGAAGAGACATTCATAAAAATTAAAAGAAAGAAATTTCGTTCGGCTGTTTCAGATGCATTGCACGACCTCCATTACCGGCACCGTTTCACGAGTTCAGACTGCAGACGCTTCAGAAAACTCATCACAACATTAAAATATTCAAATATTTTTTTATACTAAAAGTTGGGTTTTGAAGCTAAAATATGGTACATGATTGTCTGAAAATTAATTTTACATCAAAAATTTCCTTCCCTTTCAAAAAAATGTATAAAAAACGCCTTTTTTTGGGGTTCTAAAGGAGACTTCTGCCTCAGTTTGAATGACAGCTTTTCAGTTTAGAATTCAGTATAAACTTGAATTTGGTTTAATTTGTTTGGTAAGTTTTGTATTTGCTTCTTTTAATTAATTTATTAAATAATAATTAATAGTTTATGAATTCATGAATTATATGTTTTTAAATTTTCGCTAAGTTCTACATTTAAAAGTTTTTTTAGTGATTTTTATATAGTAAATTTATACACAAATATGTACATATGATTGAATAACATTTTTATACGTTTATATAAATAACTATTTAATAGAATTGTTTATTTTAAGTTAGAAAAGTGTATAAGGTTATTTGAAAAAGTGTCGTCAGGTTCAAGTTTATCAAAAAAAAAAAAGAAAAACAAAAGAAGAATAATTTAAAAGTACAGTTAAGTGAAAAAAGAAAGGTTAAAAATGCACAGAAATGAAAATCAGATGTATTTATGTATACACTACAAAAAATGACCGAAAGTAAGTGAAAATAATTTGATGGCAAAATATAACTTGAGTAGAATCCAATTTATTTTCCAATTAACAATAAGAGTAATATTCTTATCAATAATTAATTTATATATTTTTTATTTAGAATTTCGTTTGATTTCTTTGGCATTCATACAATGTATGTATGTATTTATGTTTTACTTTCAAGATGAGTAAATTATGATAATCACGTGAACATAAATTGTAACGATTTGATTACTGTTATTAGCTTTGTATATAACATGGTAAGTAAATGAATTTTTGTTTAAATATTTTTTTTATATAAATATTTTAATTAATTTTTAATATGTACGGTTAGGTATTGTTAATAGTATATGTATAATCATACTATACTAAAGAAATGCAAACAATTGTTTTTTTTTTTTGGAAATGGATATATAAATACACGTATATATGTATATACTACTATATATAATATATACATATAGAGAAATATATGTAATCCATTAATTTCCATCTGTCTTGTATGCATGGAATCAAATCAATGGTCGGAAATCAACTGAAATTGTAAACTTAAGAAGAAGAAGAAAAACTTAAAATTAAATAAAAGTAAATAAGAAAAAAATGAACTGAACCGTTCGACTCACTCACGACTCACAGTGCAATTCGTCACTATCATCGCCAGGACCACAGTTTTTGACACCATCACAACGTAATTTATCGGAAATGCAGTAGCCCACCTCACATTGGAAGTGGTATGTTGATTCACAGAGTAGCCCAATGGACGGTGGTCCTGGACCTGAGTCTTGTATTTCAGTCCATACAATGCGGAAGCCCTAAAAAGATGCATTAATATATATTTAGGATTAGGAAGTTGAATAGCAAACGTACATAATGCAGAAACATTAGATAATTTAGGATAACCTTTACAGTAGATTATGAAATATTTCTCTCTCTTTCTAAACTTAATCGGACTAAGTATCGACAAATCTAAAGTTTATTGCCAAAATGTATGGGCTATGAAAATAATTGTATGTGTATTTATTGTAATCGAAGGTGATGTCGTAAATTTTAGCGTTCTTTGACTTTACTCAGTTGAGAGCTAAGACTACTAGATGATTGAAAATTTTTTGAACATAAAATCAACTTTCTGGCAAATAAAATAAAGTGATTTGCTAATAGAAAATCTCGAAGTACCAGCCAAATTTGGCAATTTCCAAAACTGATGAAAGGCTACTGGTATTCATTGCTATAAAATTTGCCAATCAGCTGTTGTTTCGCATTGTGGGATCCGCCTTTTTATGGATTGGGAGAGCACACCTCGTCGAGCACAATTTCATCCAGTTATACTCTACAAAGTAGCCGATTAATTCACTTTGTGAGTTCTTCACCGCTATACTTAAATAAGTCTGCGAATAGGCCATCGGCTCTAGGCGCTTTGTCTTTCTATAAGCCGGCAATCGCCATTCGAATCTTGTCGGGTAATGCAACGTATTTTCCATCATAATTTATAAAGGTACTGGCTCGCCATCTCTGTTTGTCATTATTTTCGAGCAGTATTCTTGTCGGCCAGCTTCTCAAACCCTTCATATTCACGCATCTGTTTTTTTCTGCAAATGCGTCTTGTCTCTATCTTCAGCTCTCGAGATCTATCCCATCCCGCACTTTTCGTGGTCGTTCGCAAGGTTGCGAGGTAAGCAGTCTGTTATCTCTTCACTGCGATACGGAAGACCTTATAATATCAGCTCTTTTTCTAACAATGTCGAAAACCAACTGTTTCCTTAGCGGCGGTACGTAGAGAGTTTGAGATACCGGTCCAAAATTCTCTTATATAGAGTTGCTGATGAGTTCTCTCAGAAAGCAGGTATGCCGAGGAAAACATCATTTCGCTGTCTTTTGCGATTGTAGCTTATCTACGTTGCTCCGCCCTTGTGTTTGTTGACGGGTATTCTCTGATATGCAGAGGTGTGGGAGTATCTTCGTGAGGTTCCTCGGAACGTATGCACGTCAAGAACACTGGAGACGTGTCTTCCATCAATCACAACATGCTCGACTTGGTTGCCCTATTTTCGATCCGGCGACAATTACGTAGCTTGGAGCGGAATTAGTACTACAGGCAACCCAGGGCCCTGGTGAAGTGGATCGGCCTCTAGCCATTTGGGATGTTTCGTCGTAGAGGCAGAATATCCCGACTGCTGTGTAAAAACTACCTTCTTTGCTCATTCTGGCGGTAAAATCGCCAATAATAATGACATAGTGGCATAAACTCTTCTAGTATTACTTACCGGTGCACCAACGGTTTTATCGCTGGTTGTAAAACTTATACGGACAGTTTGTCCAGTGGAAATATAATACCACTGTTCTATGAGAGGTTTTTCACCACACAATTCCAACGGCGGTTGATCGGAGTCAACATTAACCCAAAGGCGTAGCACAGCAGCAGGACAACCACGATCTGTACCATACAAAAAGAAGAAAAAGAAATGAAATGTAGTGCCCTTGCACTTTTTAGCTGCATAAAATTTTGATTGAACTCACTTGCTGGGTCACCTTCGATAGAGAAGTGCTCAAAGTTTATCGATAACTTATAACCTGGACGTGCTGTCATTATCCAATTGCATGCCATCGATGCCATACCGCGACTGGGTGCTTTGTAACCAGCTGGATAATTAGGCGAGGTTATAATACCCGAATCTAGATTAGAGAAATTGCCACCACACTCCGCAACGTCAGTGCGAGGAGTTTCGAAGAAATAACGAGCCTTGAAACCGCTAGCTACATTCTCTTGATCCGTATGCAATGTGATGCGCAGACCAACCGCACCCCTTGGGCTCTCAACGGGGCCGGGTGCTGTCAAACCACAGTAGCGACCAAGAAAACGATCATTGTTATCGCGATAAACAACGTACATTTCCAACCAGTCTTCGAAACATGCACTAGAGCTAAAAAAAAGTACTTAATTAGTATATCTGAAAAAATTGAATTAAAACAGTCATTACCCATAAGCTCCGGCAGTTGCATTTGAATTACCATCCGCTTTTATTTTAAAATGATCGAAAACGATCGTGACCTGTTCGTTTGGTTCGCCCAAAAACAGATACGAACAATTCGTGTCCGATGGATAATTGGATGGATATCGTGGACTATTTAGTTCGCCACGTTTTTTCGAACTACTCACATATGTGAAGCTACAGGTGCCATCAGGTGCAGCTGTGCCGGGTATTTTGTATTCAGTTTCAAATACGTATTTACCTTTGAAACCGCGTCCTTGCAGCTCACCCGAACTGAAAACCATTGCCAAACGTGGTCCATCGCTAAGAACTCGTTGTGTTTCATTGCCACACAATTCATAATCGAATTTATCATAGGCATCGGCAGTTTCTTGTCCTTTCAGATAAATCTTGAGATAACCATCTGTGCAATTGGATCTGTTGAGTTTTACAGATTAGATAAGAAAATAGTATTTTAGTACTTTTCATTTTGCTTCTGCTATGCTATTTCTTTTTTGCACTTACTCGCTTTTATCCTTATGCTCTACCTTTGGTATATTGAAAGCTGAAAATTCCAGACGTACGCGTTCCAGATGCTGAGCATCTTGCATACCGTAAATGAAGTACCTGAGTATTGTTAATGGAATATTAAAACTCATATCTGAACTGAGATATTTTTGGAAATCGTACAGATAATTTTCAATATTATTATAAAGGGTTTTCCAATAACAGGTGCTATTTCGAATAGCTTACTATTCTGGTAGATGGCAACTTTGAAGTTGTATTTTTTGCCATTTGACAAGTAAAAGCTAAATAATAAGTAATAAGAATGGAACGGTAGTCGCTTCAACGACGCATTGAAATTAATAAAATTCACTATAAGAATGGTGACAACCTGTCGTCGTGAAGCACATAGTCGGACTGCAATACAGAAATTGGTGGAAAAAATGAAGCTGTTGGGACAAGTTAGTGCTGTGAAGAATAAATGACGTGTACGTCGCTCAAGAACAACCGAGAATATTGCTGCTGTAGCCTAAAGAGTTGAAGAACACTCAGGTTTTTAAGAGTTGAGCAGTCCGTAAACTTCATTACATCGTATCTTACATACAGTCTTGGGCTTTAAGGCTCATAAAGTTCAGTTAACACAAGAAATCAAGCCGGCTGATCAACAAAAAACATTGTTTGTTTGGGTTCTTGAAATTATTAAAATTTACTATGAAAATTTCGCCGTAAAATCATTTTGACTGATAAGGCCTATTTCCACCTCGATGGCCACGTCAATAAGCGAAGCCTTTCCTTAGTCAATGTGTAATTGTTTGGTGCGGTTTATGGTCCTACGGAGCTATTGCATCATACATTTCCGAAAAAAGGGAATGGATTGCACTATCGAGAGATGATTAATGATTTTTGTATGGCATTTATCTGGACAATGTTTACTTCCAACAAGGCGGAGCTACGTGCCACACAAGCAGCGAAACCATCTATTTTTCAAAGGGAAAGTTTCCGGACAGTGTTATCTCTCGCAGGGGAGATCGCAATCGGTCATCGAGATCTTGTGATTTAAAACCTTGCGACTTTTTCCATCGGAACCACGTGAAAGATAAGTGGTACGTCAACAGGCCAACGTCATTTTAAGACCTCAAAGATGGAACTCGTGAAGCTTTTGAGGGCATACAGCAGCCACTTTGCGATTTGGTGATGGTAAATTTCATGAAAAGTATATGGTCCCGTGGCGGTCAATTGGGTGATGTCGTTTTGAATTATTATTGGCATTTTTTTGTCTTTCTGTTCATTTATCCAAAGCATGTAATTGTTCTTTGAAATGAAATTAACATTTCTTATTGGAAAACCAAAATTAATATAAGATTTAATAAATTAATTAAAATATTAAATTAAAATCAAATGACAAAACAAAAGTTTCTAGTAATCTCACATAGCCGCTTAATTTTGTCAATTAACAAATTTTTCCCACACTGTGTGCACAATTGGCTAACTAGAATTAAGTGGCTATGTAAAGCGCTGGAGCAATATACATATATATTTTCTTAATTTGAGTGTAATTGTTTTTCATTCTACAAATTTTACTTACCTACAAACTGTTTTCGGTATATATGGATAGGGGTAATTTGGTGAAAGCACAAAACCCGTTGACTCCTTTCTCGATAATATTTTTTGATCACATTCCGAGCCACGTATGTGAATGCCATCATTTTCACCTGATATTTTTTTTAGCATTTACAGTATTGTATTTTTCGATATGGTGTGCCAATTATGTAATTTTTGAAGCGAAGCATTGTTGTTGCATTTCGGTATTTTTAGTTTAAAGGAATGAAAATTTTAGTTATTTAAGGAAAAAAGGAGAATAGAGGTTATTTGGAAAAGTACACATGAAAAAGAGTTACAAATATTTGGTTTCATGATGTTTTTTTTTGGTGTTTTTGGTATTAATAATTAATTTCTGTGCGTTTAAATGCATCAAAAATCTACGCCGTTCTTATATGATCTACAGTCACATACAGTTAGCTTAAAATGTGTTCGTTTATTATTTTTATTAATTATTTAGTACACCTCATTAAAGCTGTGGATCAGGTGAATGTTCTTCAGATTAAAATCAGTCAATATTCCAGTTTATATTGAAATGAATTTACGATATCGTCGAAATGATTATTAAGGGGCTCACCCAATGTGACCTTTTTCCAAAAAAAAAAATGCTTGACATTTTTTGATAGCTTTGAAAAAACATACTTGGTCCTCAGATGCGTAACGGTAATAGTTTGGGAGTTACATTAAAACGCGTGAGATCAGTTATGTAAGCTTAAGTGTGTTTTTATTTTTTAAAACGTATTTTTCTCGAAACAGCGTTTTCGAAATTTTGCTGTCAAAAAGAAAAAATAATCATCCGATCGTCTTGTAAATATTTTTTATCATATTTATCATTTCGATATCGGATTAAAATACGGTCAGATTTTTAAGCTAAATTTTTCCTTTTTCACTAAACGACGCGAATTTCCTCTTTAATGATGCAGATCTCATCGAGAATGTAAGATTTCCGTCTGAAGATAATATATGGGTCAAGTAAAAAGTTCGTTCGTTTTTATTGATTTTTCAAAATATGATAACTTTGTGCACATTTGTCCGATTTAAGTCAAATATGCACCGTCTTGTTCGGTAAACTTGTTGCAAACGAGACGCCTCTCATAGAAGGCTGCGCCCCTATTGGAAAAAAACTCGGCGAGCCAATTTTCACAGGCCTCTCTTGAGGCCAACTTCTCACGATTAAGCGCGTTCGCCATGGACAGAAAAAGATGGTAACCACTTGGTGCCAGGTCCTCCCGCTATCTCCATGATTTTATCGCAATTTTCGACTGCTTTTTCGCTTTGATCGAAGAAAAATTGTAAAATATAGGGGAGTTTCTCAAACAAACTTTTAGCGCGAATAAACACGTTTTCAGTGCCGTACAGTATGACATGATGCGACACGTAACTCTAGTACTATGGACAATAACGTCATCACTTAGATAAAAACTGAACGAATTTTTTACTTGACCAATATAAAGATATCTTATTTGTAGCCAATGATATATTGGTACTGTAAAACATTCAATGGAAAAGTTTTCTATTTAAAACTTTCCAAATATCTTCCCTTTTTTTCGCTGTCACACTGGTTGAGCACCATAAAGTTAAAAAGTTAATTTCAATAAATACATAACTTCCTTTTTCTTTCTTTTTTTCCAAAACTTCTTGAAATTCTAATTTTTTTCATCCCCAGACCAAAAAAAAAATATTTATAAGTTCTTATATATACGTACATGAAGGTTGGTAGAAAAGTTCACAAGAGGATTACACAAATTTATTACATCATGAACTATACACATGGTGTACTGGCTTTGGATTCCGTCACATAAAAATAAATCTACATTGAATAAGACACGAATACACGGCATTCGTATTAGAAAGCGAAATCTGAAACCGATTACTATACAACTGGGATTGAAACGAGGCTATCAGCGAGAACATATAAGCGTTGGTGCAATTTGAGTATTAGGATTTACAAAGAAGATTTCTTTGGTTTATATGAATAGCGCCTGTCATAAAACAAACATTCCGTCCGTTCCCGTTTCGGCTTCCACGTCGCTGTTTACCGTCATATCTTTGAAGTTCTCCATGTAAGGACCAGTATAAACACCACACAAAATGTTAACAAGGACATACAACGCAGAATCGCTCCTCAACATATGCTATTTTGGTTTGAGTAGTAAATTGAAAATTAAAGTCCTCTCTCAACAAGCAAACAGCAAACTCTACAAGTCATTCATCCATTCCGACCTGGAATATACTGCAGAAGCGTGGAAGTTGACAACATTCAACATTCAAATTTTTTTTCGCAAGATTTATAGTCGTCTGTGTGCAGGCGGCGGCAAATAACGTAGGCGATAAAACAATGAGCTCTATGAGATATAAAACGACTTTGACATCGTGAAAGTAGAGGAACACCTCCACTCCGTTTTAAGAATAGCTGGATTCACAATTAAAGAAAGAATCAATTGGCGCGCTTTTGTTAACTCGACTAGAAATTAGGGATCGGTGCCCACTCCAAAGAAGAAAAAACGGCAGGAAAGCTCAAATGTACTTTGCTGGGCCCAAAATTCAGCATTCATTAGCTGTCACCGCATCGAAAGCCACGCAAATAAATTAGATAAATACGAGACATATGTATTATATGTACATATCTCCGAGGTAAACGTATCGGCTCGAATCATTAAAACATCAAGTGAGGTTACAGACAAGGTCTCAAACTTTTTCAATATTATACTTGAACTTAATTCAATTTTGATTTAACTCAAATCAAGATCTTATTAGTTTGATATGTCTTATTAAGGTCGGTCGTAAAGGAGAACAATTAAAGTTATTGTTATAAAGTAAGACTTTATGTAATATATGTAAATAATTGGCACTATGTAAACGCTAAAGCGATTTTTCTATCGAGCACCTCTTCCAGTTTGCGGTTTTGTGTTTTAAAGTTTTCCAACAATTGGAGAGATCAACAGTTTATATTAAGCCGCCTCCGAGCGGTTGATGATTTTTTATGAGGAGCCTTTATTTCATGTCAGAAATACACTCGAAGGTGTTGACATTCCCTGCCGAGGGGCAATCGCAATTAGAAAATGTAAATTAATTTTTTTATTTAAATTAATTTTCTATAACTTTTGGATGTTGTTCACACTAGGATTTGGATCCGAGCCTCCCAAATGGCAGTACGCAATTCTTACCACTCGGCTACCGTGGTGCCGACTCCAAAGAAAAACAAACGGTCGGAAAGTTCAGGCTAAAAAATGCATGTGCTTCGCTGAGCCTAAAATTTTTTGCCCATAATGTCGTCAATGAATTCCATCTCGCCCACACCTGCAGTGGACATGCAGCCTCATACATTGACTCCTACACCACCATATTTTATAGTCGCAGAGCGGTTCTCTTTTTGAAGTTCAGTGTTAGGTTTTTCCCACACAGTTTGACGGGCATCAGATTGAAAGATATTGAATTTGCTTTCATTGTCCCAATAGTCAATTGGTTTGCTCAGGTACTCCATTGCATAGGAGCATTGGTTCACTTTTGAAATAAGGGGTTTGCAACTAGCTGCACGAGAATGAAAGTTAGTTTCATGCAATGCTCTCCGGAGCGCTATCGGACGAATATCATTTCCCAATTCTTGCTTTACTTCGGCTGCGGTTTGTGTGGAAGATAATCTTGGGCTTCGTTTTACTTTTCTTAGTGCTTTCTGTAAAGATGAAACCCCCTCAAATCTTTTCACAATGTTTATTATGGTGTAGCGGCTTCTGCTCATCACTTCATCATTTTCTGCATATGATTTGCCCTGTTATGTAAATATAAAGTTATTTTTCACAGAGAAGTGTGAGTTTCCCTTATTTGTCACTCATTTTGCGACGGATGTGACTTTCGGCCGTGCTTTTCCTAGAATTAATGCTATGCGTCTTAATGTTTTTCAAGAAATAGTGGGTTCTACAATTTACTCTAAGTCGCCTTCGAATGGCTGAAAGACTTTAACCTTTTTATTTCATGTCAATGGTGCTGCCGAGGGACGATTGCAATTAGACAATATTTTTCAATTTTTTAGACTTTAGTCGGGCTATATCTCAAGCCTATGACTATCCGTAAGTTAGCATACTCTAAATTTATACGAACTGCAGGGATAAGTAGCAGGTATGACATGACTTAGCCAACGTTGACACTGATTCGTAATTCGATGAACTCTATGCAATGCTGCCGTATATCTCGTATAGTTTACAATTCCAACGACTGTGGTATTTGGAACCCGAATTGATATTTTTTTGTTATTCTTTATTCATTTTAACTTTTGTTTCAATTTGTTATCAATCATGACGCCTTAAGGTTGGGTAAAATAACTTCACTCTCACAGGCCTATTCTGTCAAGGTAACAAAATTTACTGAATCGCAAGTTTTAATACCAAAGTAAATTTTGTTACTATTTCGTATTCTGAGCTCACTGTCACCCTGTAAATTTTGTTACCAGCGAAATAGGAGGTAACAAAAAATCCACTGTTTGATTCTGTGTTGTTAGTGTGAAAAAAAAAAATTAAAACCAAATTGGGTAGGCATATTTTGGCCTGGAATTCATTGAAGATGAAGATAAAAGTGGAAAAAGGCGCATGCTAAGAGGTTCACAAGAAACAGATTACCCTTTTTATTTGGAAGCTAGTGTTTTCATTCAGCTTTTTTTTCGTCGTTTAGGCATGTTTTCCAAAATTAGGTTCAAATATGTATGATTTAATAAACAAATAAATAAAACTTATTTATTTTGAAAGGCACCGTCTTCCATTTCGATGTGAATATTCTTCCTTTTTACTTTACCAACTGGCAAGTGTAATTTGACAAGGACGAAAAAAGCAGTGCTGCCAAAGTTTGTTAAAAAAAAGTAACAAAATTTACTTTACCGGCAACAGTGAGAATAGGCCTGTCAAAGGTAAACCTTTTGGTTCTGTGAACTTTTTGCCAACTTTCGTATGTGTGTAAATATGTATGTGGTATGTAAATTAGTACAGTTAGACTTGTTTATCAAATATTACCAATTACTTACGTATAAAATCTAATTTAACAAAACTTTCGCTAAATTCATAAATTCCTTTAAAGCCACGATTTTGTGTATTTGCTGTTCTCGGCAATGTATAAAAATGAACAAAAAGGCTCGATTCGCTTGAATATAATACTAAATTCCTTTGCTGTCCGCAATATGTACCAATTAATGCTGACGAATTATCGGGACCATCATACACTTTGACATAGTCAAATGGGCAGCTGTCGAAGAGATATTTCAATATTTAAGTAACTCAATTCAATATACAAACATACATATACGAGTATGTATGTAAATAAATTATGCAGATAGGAGCATGTTCTCCTACCACTGACTATATATGTATGTATATTTTTTGTATTTATGTATGTTTGTAATTGAATAAGCTTTATGTGCAGCATTCAGAGGTACTCACTGTGGTCCACCAAAAAACAGATCAAAATCACGAAATTCTAATCTAACTCTTTGATTTGATTCGCCGAGAAATTGATATGTGCATGACATATCCTTTGGATAGGCACCCGGATAAGTTGGCGATATAAGTGCCCCAGTTTTATTGATACTCATGCTAGGCGTGATGGTGTAGGAACATGGTGAACCCGCTATTGGTATACCAATTTCATATTCAGCTGAGAGAATGATTTATTAATGCAGTATATACCATTGATATATATATCATATATAGCGGATTTAATAATAATAATAAAAGTTCAAATTTAACCATTGGTTTGTATGTACATACTTACATGCATTTATAAATCTATAAGTTCCTTCGAATAAATCGGGTGTTGATACATTCTTATTCGTAAAAAATGAAATGGCTATAGCTCGGTACATGGAAATTCGTCGTCGTGGCGGTATTGTACCACAATACCGTCCACCAAATGGTGAATTTATTAATTCAGCTGGATCTGATGATTGCACTTCAGAATATATATCCATGTACTCGTGAACACAGCTGTATGGAAAGAACATGATTATGTATAGATTTCGTGAAAGGTAGCGAAAAGATCGTCGTGAAATACATACATGTAGAAAAAGAACGAGCAGATTTTACTTAATGCATTTCTGAATAACTTCAATACTAAACTAATTTAAAACCACAAAATCAGACTGAGGAAAAAGCTTTAGTAAAGGCAAATATAGGGAATAGAGTTTATTCTAAACTATCTTCGAACGGAGGAGGAGAACGTTTATGAGGAGCTTTTATAGCATGCCAGAAATACACACAGAGTGGTTGATACCTCCTGCCGATAAGCAAATGCAGTTAGAAAAATTAATTTAAACTTTCCATTAATTTGTATAATTTTTTGATGTTGGTTCGGCCAGCACTCGAAGCTGTTCGCCTAATGTGGAGGAAGAATTCTAAGTGAAAATATGGTTCGAATTCGAGTTCCATTTCAAATGGGTTTGTTTATGCATGCAACCCTGCTTAGGAGTAAACGCCTTACACATAGATGGCGCTTCTGTATTGGAAAAGATGAAGTCTCGTTTTAGGAGTGAGTCCTGGTATCCATTTCGGTTTTGATTTGATAAATACCGATGCCAGCACTAGAAGTTCCAAGAATTTCATGGAACACCCCTCGCTAGAGCATTTGCGAAGAGTCAAAGAGTTCAATACATTCTCGTTGCAACAAATTTTTATGAACCAAAGCACTAGAATAAATTCTCTATCTCCAAATTTCTCACCCGAAATTCACCCACGAGTTCCACTCAATAAATTCATAGTATAAAAGGAGGAATGACCATCCCACACCACGTTTAATTTTTGTATATGGAATTCACCCTCGAACTCCTAAAAGAGCCCAACGGCTTTATGAATTTCTATTCTCCTCCTACCCTCAAATCTTAGACACCACTGAACATTTCTTAATATAAATAATAAGGAATGCTTCTGAGCATTCCCACACTTTTCGCTATGTATTTAATATTTTGGATTTCATACAACAAAAGCACATAGACTTGAAGAGAGAAGGATGAAAATATTTCATAGAGAAGCTGATGTATTTGGACATCGCTTGCATTACTAAATTTGAAAAGTTTTCTGGAAAGATTTCTATATTTCGTAAGGATCAAACAAATTTGGAGGGTTTTATGTCGGCGGCTTAAGCATCGAAAAAGGACTTGTCGTGAAAGAATATACACTAGGTATCTTCCTCGATATCGAGGGGGCTTTCTACAACATTCTGCCTTCGGGATGGGGGCTCTTCAGGAAATGGGTCTTCAACAGGCCATAGCGAATCTCGTAGAGTCTCTTCTGAGGAACAAGATCATCTTCGCAGAGATGAGCAACGCCAGCCTTACCAGACACACAACGAGAGGCACCCGTCAAGGTGGAGTTTTATTGCTACTGCTTTGGTGCTAGGCGGCGAACACGCTGATTAGGAAACTGCGCAACACGGTGTTGAGGCATACGCTGACGACTTCGCTCTGATAGCGAGTGGCAAACACCTGCAAACATTAAGCGATTTGCAACAAAATGCTCTTTGTATAGTTGAGGGATGGTGCATAGACAGCGGGCTGGACGTGAACCCTGATTAAACCGAGATGGTGCTATTTACCAGGAGGTACAAACCGTATGCATTTAAACCGCCCAAACTAAAGGGCGTGGAGATTACCTTATCTCCCGAAGTCAAATACCTTGGGATAATCTTAGATAGCAAACTAACTGCAACCGGAACACAACAGAAAGATCAAGGAAAGCTAGAATTGTACTCTACGCATGCAAAACGGCGATAGGAAAGAGATGAGATTTTATCCCGAGTATCGTGCATTGGATACACACATCCGTAGTTAGGCCAATCCTATTCTATAGACGGTGACCCCTCTGGTGGCCGGCACTCGAGAAAATCACCTTCAGGAGCAAATAAGAGAGAGTTTAACGATCGGCATCCATCCGGATAATGGGAGCTTTGCCATCAGCTCCCTCGAAAGCACTGGTAAATCTTCTCAACCCCCTTCCTCTGGACCTATATAGGAAACTTCAAGCGGGTTGCAACGCAACAAGATTGAATGCAGCTCAACCTTGGAAGAATTGCAGTATAGGACATACAAAAATATTTTCTCTTACAGAAATGTCGAAGAAGCTGGACTACACCACCTCCAGTGTTACCTCGAAAATCTTTTCTCCACAAGAATCCCAAACAGATAGGAGTGGGAAAACACCATTGCCCCCGATTAAGAATCATCTTCAAAGATGGCTCGAAGCTCGATGGGAGGGTGGGTTGTGGAGTTTATTCTCCCGTGCTTTCAGTAAGCATGAGTATGAGAATTCCGAATCATTGCAGCGTTTTCCAGGCGGAAATCCCCGCAATCATGGTGGCCGCGGATAGTCATACTGCAATCAGATCCTTTCAAGGTAACGATACCACGTCAAAAGTAGCCTTAAACTGTAGAAACACTCTCAGCAAACTCTCAACGAACCACAGCACTGCCGTGGCCTGGGTACCTGGACACAGGGACATCCCAGGCAATTGCATAGCAGATGAACTCACAAGAGAAGGAACTCTTCTATCTACGAGAAAACACTTACATGATGCTGGTTTACCTCTATCCACTGTTAAGTGCATGCTTAAACTGGCATTCACCAGGGAAGCTGACGCACGATGGTTGAACGAGAGCACGTATAACGTGGCCAGATAGCCGAAGTTGGACACGAAAAAATCTAAACATCTTATCCTTCTAGACCGGTTATCTATTAGCATAGCGATATAGCGGTATAATAACTGGACACTGTTTAATCGAGCTTCACGGGATTAGGATGGGCTTTTACTCTAACGATTTCTGCCGTGGCTGTAGGGACGAAGAAGAGGAGGAGACCATCGAGCACTACCTCTGCCACTGTCCAGCCTTGACATCCGCGCGGCACAAGTTTCTTGGGAAACACTTCTTCGACTGTCTCACTGAGTTGGCTGCAGTGAGCATTGGAAATCTCGTTGCCTATAGCCTATATACGAGTAAGGTACACGAAATGGTTCGATCATATGAGGAGGTGAAGGCAGGAGCCTCAGAGGTATAACGATGGGCCTATTGGCCTAAGTGGCCGCGTCAATTGAACTCAACTCATGTCGGCGGCTTTCATAAATCAATTAATTGTAAGAAAAATTAGACAATCATATTAAAAATAACTTTATTGCCAGCCACAGCTACAGAAGGAATAAAATTTATTTCAAGTTGCTCAAGTTGACCTGTGTGTTGTATAAAGGAGAAGTTATATAGAGGTTAAGAATACGGACCATTCGACGAAATATTTAATGAGCTTCAGACATCGATGTAAATATCTATTTCACTTAAATTACCACATAAATAAAATATGTACAATATAAGTGTTATAATAACTCAATTTTTTAAATTTCTCTAAGACATATTACAGCTGTGTTCAAAATCGCTTAGTCAACAGTGGTTCTTTGATTACGTAACGTAAAATTTGCTCTTCTGTTATTTTAACAGTTGAATTAAATTTAAATGAAATTAAAAAACAGTTATTTGTACTTACGCTGGTAATTCCCCCACGGCGGAACCACTATGTTAAAAAAAAGGAATAAGAAATGCATTTCAAAGTTAAATGGAATTGAGTCTTCAGTAATTCGATATATGTATGTACATAAGTATATATTTATGTTATATAAAATCTACTGATGCAAATGCATTCATTCATTATGTATGACTTACTCTGGTGGACTTCCTCTTAAATTAAATGATGTAAATAGTACTTCGACACGTTGTCCGGGTCCTGCTAGGAAAGTGTACAAGCATTGACGTGAATGATTTTTGTGATTGTGCAGCAGCGGCGCAGAGAATGTGCCATTCTGCGGCCCACCAATGCGTGAAACGAATGTCTGGTCACATTCTGTGGAGAAAAGAAAATGCAAAAAGAAATAAAAAAAGATGAAAAATGTAAATCTAGAGAGGGAGAATCAGATAAGGAAATATACAAATGAGAAATGCTAGGAAATGAAATTGCAAATGCAGCAATCGAAATGGAGAATTTATGTACTTTTTCATAATGAAGATAAATGCAACAAAGAAATTGCTATTTGTAGACGAGCTTATCTAGATGCTTTCATACTTCATTTTATGTGCAAGTGTTTTTGTGGAAGTGTTTTAAATCTTTTAAGCTTTTTTTCCAACAACAATCGAGAGTCAATTTCAAAATAATTTAAACACCTCACAATATGTGGTTGTTATCAAAGAAAGAGATTGCTGGTATGATTGCTGGAATTATTTTCTTATTTTATATCTTAGGACAGCTTAACGATTTTTCCACAAAGAGCTGTGCTGGGATTCTCTTTTGTATTATAACGATTTTCAGATTGTTAATGTGACTTTAAAGATCTCGCTATTCGCTATATATATAATATTTTAATGATTTTAATATTCGCTTTACTGATTTTGACGATATTCGCTATCGTTAGATCAGCTGTTGGCGTAAACTACTTGACAAATCGCTAACCAATCGACGCTTGTTTCGAAGTTTCTAACGTCATCGACAAATATTAATATTTTATTATTATTAAAGTAAAATCAAATAGATAAGGAAATTGGCTAAGCTAAATAAAAGGAAACAGAAAATAACAAAAAAGTGTTCGGGTATTTAGCTAGGTTTTATCACAAGATCAGGAGGTATTATACTCTACATCCTTACATATAAGTTTGCTTCGAGAAGTGAAAGATCCTTTTCACTTGTATGCAACTGAGATTCCGAATCTATTTATATAGTTTAATGCCGAATTTAGTTAAAGAAATCGTTTCTCAACTTGATAGCCAAATAAAAGGCAATATCTACAGAGAAGCCGGCAATACTTTTAAATAATTTTTCATTTTTTTCATTAAACTATTAAAATGTTTAAAGGCTATAGTCGCCTTGTGTTTCTGAGCAGCTGGGTGCTATCAACGTTCCCTTGGGAAGCAATGGGGAATACCATGAGTCTCGTCGAAGGTTAAATTTCCTCTGACACAAATAGAGCGGGAAGCTGAAAAAGAAATTTTTGCCTCTTCAAAGTCACCATTTGTTAGAAGCGCTATTGGCTATCGATTGAATTCATGTCTTTGTCAACCAACATGGATATCATTCTATCAATGGGCAAATGGTGAGAGTGAATGTGTTATTGTAATAAAAAAGATGATTACATTTGTGACTCGTATTCTCAAGATTTTGTCAGTAAATTCGAAGTACCCAGGAGTGCGGTACGACGATCCTTTTATTTGGTTATCTTTTATAGTGCGAAGAGAAATGCAGTATAGTTTTTAAAGTAGAAACCATAATATGATTTTGATTGGTAGAGTTTGAAAACCTTTACAACTCATCTATTAAGAAATATTGAGTTGAGTTGAGTTGAGTTGATGCGGCTGCTGGTCAAATTCCAGCACACTTGGGCCAAAAGTCCCATTGGGACACCGCTGAGGCTCGTGCCTTCACCCTTTCGAATGATCGAACCATTTTGTGTGCCTCATAAAGGCGTCAAGATTGCCATTGATTAAAAAAACTTTTAATAAAATAAAGTTCTTGAGGTAACTTTGTTTGTCCAAAGGAGCCGTGTTTAAAGACTCCTCTTCCACACCAACTAGAAGAAAGTCCTAAATTTCATTACAATGAGACATTGTGTAAAGCACGAAATCCAGTCGAAATACTTTTTGGTAAAAGAACTTGGTGAGGCCTGTCTCACAAAGACTGTGCCACTGCTCAATGTTACATAACTTTCGATTATGTGAGCAAGAGTTCTTTTGAACGAAGAACAAATACCGTCAATGTCAACCAATACGCTCAATTGAGAAAAAAAATGCACAAAGAAACAGGCGAATCGCTTAACAAATGGAATAATGAAAACTTTTGAATAGAAAGTGTGTTGTTTGGCAGTGAAAATATCCATATAGATCTAAATACACGAGGGCATACAAGTTCACACAATTGGTGACTTTCAATTTATTTTTGTTAAACCTAAAAATACCAAATCCTCTGAAATTACTTTATTAGTCTTCCTTTAATATTTTCTGCTAAAATAGGGACGAGAAAACGCAAATTCCGGGGCCAACGCAAGTATAAATTCGCCATGTGATGCTCTTAGGGTTTTGGCAAGACAAATTTTCAGTGAATGCCAAATTGAATATGGAACGATTGCGCCTTCTTAAGAGACTATTTCTAAGTGGATTCAAAGATTCCAGGCAGGATATTATCCCGTAGAGGACAAGCCCCGAGAAGGTTAACCAAAATCTTCCACTAATGACGTCACTGTACCTTTGTTGTAGTCCAAAACTAACGAAGACTCACGGTTGAGACATGAATTGGACTTAAATGCCATGGCTGTATCGCGAAATTAAGTAATTACCTGGGAATGTTTCCTAAAGAAATTTGAAAATGATCAGCCTGGCAACTTAAGTAAAATCGTTAATGGTGATGAATCTTGGTTCTATAAGTACGATCCAGAAACCAAACAACAGTTCATGGTATGGAGCCTATCAGGAGATAACCCACCTGTTAAATCTAAGCAACAAATATCAACAGCAAAAGTAATTATGTCAGTTTACTGTTTAAAAAGCAAGATTTTTTAAGTGGATCAAAAGTGGATCTAGTCTTAAAAAATTCATTGAAATCAATTGCGGTTAAGTAGATAACATAAAAAAAGGACAATGTTTACGCATTAATGCTCCATTCCACCCCTCTGGAGAAAATTTTGCCGGTCCGGTCCTTGTTAAACCATTTATCCTTTGGCAAGTTTCTCATGCAAAGTCATATTTGTGCGTACTTGAATGATTTTTCATAAAGCTATCCATAAAAAACTCTGCTATAATGCATTTCGATCAGCTTTCGGGAGGTTTGTTAGACGTGGCGACTCTTCCATAGCATGTCCCACAATTAGGAAAACCTTTGTTGAAGATCAAGGCGCGCTCCAACGTGAAGTCGATGCATTTCTGAAAGAGGTCTCAATCGACATACCCTCCAAATACTCAACCTTGGGCTTCTCCTGTCAATTCATTCCGATCTTAGCGATTTATATTTTATAAAAAGGGTGTCCCAAAATAACAAATTGGCAGCTGAGAGTTAAAGTAGAGCGTTATTGAATAATATTTCGAAAATAGTGAAATCTTGGCGGCGATAATTTCATACAAAATATTATCGGAATAATATTTTAACTTCGTCAACTGTGAAAAGATTAATTGAAAAATTCCTTGATATAAAATCCGTTGGAGACACCTAACACACGGATCGTCGTTCAAATGACAATATCGAAGCAGTGTGTGAGTAAAAAATAAACAATAATAAGGATAAGCGGCACACATGTAGCTTAATGGGATAATCATTCGCTCGTGCTGTGGGCATCTCAAGTTCGAATTCAATTCAAAGAAAGGTGTCTAGAAAAAGAAGTCTGATGAGGAAACGTGGTGGTAAAATAAACGAAATGACAGCTATAACTTCTACCGTCCAAAACTGTTGTTGGAAATTTTTCATTATTTCCAAAAATAAATGGTCTGAAACAGTCCAGCGCATCATTCTAACAGCATTTTTTCAAATATGGCAACATTTTTTCTCGAACAGCTTTTGTTTCTGAGTTCTACATATGTAGATATACTATTTTATTCTTGTTTTCTTCTTTCTTGTTGTAAGCTTCTTTTCGAAGATGTTGTGTGCTTAATCCCGATTGTTTTTGCTATATTTGCGTTGAATATGTAATTGCAAAATATTGAAAATTTATATAGTATCAACATAAAATTTCAAAATAAAATTATGTAATCAAGACCATGGGCTCCTCACATTGTATGCCGGAAATGTGTGGTATGCCTACGGATATGTTCCAGTGGAAAACGAGATGCAGTATTGTTCGTAATATCGTAACATTTGGCGAGAACTTAGAAGCCATCTTGACGCCTGCTAGTTCTGCGTTGTGAAAATAAAAGGAATTAAACCTGGAAATATTAAACTATTTTTGTTTTTAACGGCCTCAATTAAAGTGACTAGAGGTACAATCCAGCACATCTAAATCTTCTGATGATGATTTAAATCCCTGTGAACGCGTACGAAAAACATCGATTGAAAATTCTGATTCAGACTACAAATTTAACCGCGAAGCACAACCATTTAATCAGAAAGAACTAAATGATTTAAGTAAGAGATCTGCACTTACCGAAAGCAGCTTCTGAAGTTTAATTTGAAAGAAAAAAGTTAGCTTACTCCGAAAATCAAAGTTAGATTTTATAGTACCCGAGAAAAATATCGTATTTTTCTCAAGAGAAGAATTTAGCTTTTTGTAATGAATGCCTATTGATTGGCATCTCTTTATATAATATATGGCAGCAAAATATTTTTTAAATGTGTTTTGCTTCACAACGGTATACGGATCTATACCTATTGCACATTCGGTGACTTTAAGAGAAGAATACGCAAATGTTGCTAAGATTGTGAATTATGGAAAATTAATTATTAAGATTACAAATGGGTAATTTGTGTTGACCTGAAAATGGTTAACTCTCTGTTAGGTCAACAAGGCCGATACATGAAGCTGCCCTGTTTAAAGTGTCTCTGGAACAGTCGTGACAATCAGCACCATTGGTAACAGAAGGTTTGACCAATGCGGAAAGAGTTGAAAGTTGGTTGGCTTACTTAGCCGATACCGCATCACAATTTCACACTTCATATTAAACTCAGCATAATGAAACAGTTTGTGAAGGCTCTTGACAAAAGTGGCGAATGTTTAATTTACTATCACGAGTTTCCAGTATTAAATACAGAAAAATTGAAAGGTGGTATTTGTTTATAAGCCGGCAGACTCGGCAACTTGTGAAAGATACGAATTTTATCTAATTAATGAGAGAATTCGAATCTGAAGCTTGGAATTCATTTGTTTTGGTCAAGCGTAATTTCCTAGGTAGTAAGAAATCTAACGATTATGTCGAGCTTGTTGATTCCAAGCCATCGAGCTTGAAAGAGCTAGGTTGAAACAGGAGCATAAAAACCCACTTTCTCCACGCACATTTAGATCGTTTTCCACAAAATCTGTGTGGTTTTAGTGAGCAGCAGGGTAAAAGATTCCAATAGGATCTTCGGACAATGGGAGAGCGGTATCAGAGGGGGGGGTGGGACTTATTGAACATGGAAATCTTATAAAATATCATTTCATAGCGTAGAATAGAAATTAACCCAACATAATTTTCTTCGTAAAAATAATAAAACTGCTGTAAGCAGTCTCTCAGTATTTTCCTTATAGTCAGGGCCATAAACTTATGTTACCAGTGTTATTGAGCATCCAAATAAAGGACAGTGTTTTTTTGAGCAAAAGCCTCACAAGCCATGAAACGCTTTTTTCGCTTTTCTGGTTCTGAGAACCCACGGATGATTGTCGAAAAACAAATGTATCCATAACGGGTCACCATTTGCAGTGGATTTTGAGCTGAACCATGCTTTTTTGAAAATCAAGCAGGTCAAACAGTGATTGTTACTGGTGTTCTTTATCAGTTCGCTTTGCCGAAATTGAATGAAACTGTTGTGGTCAATATCTAGTCTCTACCAGATGGTGCCACATGTCATACAACTAGTGAAACACTTTAATAACTGGCGAACAGAGCTGGTGATTTAACATTATTCGATTTATTTTTTCTTTTTATGGGGTTAGTTAACATCACAGGTTCATTGCCCACAACCAAGCGTGTTTCAAAGGAGGAGATACAACGTTGCATCAATGAAATTGAACCAGAATGTTCATGGAAGATTTGGACACACGAGTGCCAATCACATGGAAAACCGCCGAGGTCATATGGCCGATGTGTTATTCCATAAATAACCACGTCCAATGTATTGTACTTTATTATTCAATAAAAAATAACAATTGAAATTTTGGGACACCCTTTATAATTATCAAAATACATTCGTTTCAGCTGTTTTCAGGTGAACCCCACCTCCAATTTGGACCTACAGATTTTTCTTCAAATTTGCCTCTGATTGGCTGAGATTTTTATTGGAAGTTTTTTTATTTCATTGCGTTGATTATGCCTGCTTAGAGTATTAAGACATATTATTTTCTCTAAGTGTGAATTTTGGTCTGTATCGTAGAATTTCTTGTTGTAAGTTGACGAAATAGTGAGAGTAAAAATAATTATTTTTTCAAAAGAGAGTTCGATTAAAAAAAAAGTGAGCAGCAGAATGTTTGAAATTGGCTTCGAAACACAAATATACTAATGTGTATGTATGTATATTTAGCAGTAGATTACTTTAAGCGCATGCACTTTTTTCGATATCTATCAAAATAATCTAATTTACATATTTATAAATATATATTTCTATATACATACATACATACAAAAATATGTAAATAATATGTATAGAACGCATAATTCGCATTGGACAATGATAAAACGATAGAAACGCTTGTAAATGCAACTGAAAATTTGAAAACTGAAAAACACAACCTACTTGGAGCTTTTGTAGGTCTCGGTGGTGTTTCCAAGTAAGCCACAATGGGTATCCATGGTTGTGCTGCCGGATTGGGCCCACCGTTTGCTCTTAATTCAGAAGCAGCATCGAAATTGTACGCCACTGCCGAGATAGATAAAAAGCAAATACAAAACATACATACATACATATACACAAATTTGTAGGAAATTGAAAATGTTAATGTCAATAACATTTAATTTTGATGAATGAAATCTATTATATCTTATATCATTTGTGTGTATGTGTATGCAGGATATCCTAACCCTATGTAAGGATTAAGGGTAAGCACAAAACTGAAACGCATTTACTGCAGTGGAAAACGTTTTGAATAATGACAATGCAAAACGAGATAAATTCTTTACAAAAAAGCGCTTTTCCTCATTTTAAAGGGGTGCTCAAATCAGACGCCAACAAAAAATTTTTTCAGATTTGGGTAACTTTTGGTATTTCAAGAAATACCTTGAGGTGGATACAAAACTAAAGTTTTCGAAAATCGTTAATGGATGCATAAAATAATATATTTTTTGCGGAGACCCAATGGGGCTTTAAAACTGCTGAAGCAATTTTTGGGCGAGCTGCTCCTCCAAATTTGTTGGGCATTTTAAAGTTTTTTCCAACAAATGGAGGATGTAGGTTTTATACCAAGCTGCCTCCGAACGGCTGATGGGTTTTTATGAGAATCATTTTTTGCGAAGGGGTTGACAATCCCTGCCGAAAGACGACCGCAATTAGGTCGTATATCCTTGTGAACAAAAAGTGGCAGAAGAATATATACAATTAAGAGCTAGAGAGTTGAAGAAATATTTTTACCAAATACAGTAACACGTGAAGATATGTGTGTAACTGCTAAATACAGTTAATCTGCCATTAAATCACTTCATTGTAACCACACCACTTCAAAGGGAGCAATAAGATGTTGAGATATCCTATACAAACTATCGGCAATATGTTAAACTACTGTGGCAGGCAGAACTGAATGCTACTCCTTCTAAACCTCCATTGAGCATAACTACCCGACACTGTTTGATGGTGGACTCATAGTAGAAGGAGCAGCTACTGTTCTCATGACTTATTTCGCTGCTACAGATACATAGCCGAAGAGACGACGGTGGTGCCTTGCCACAGACCAGCCCTTCTACTTTGTCTGCTTTGGAGATATAGCGTCAGCAAATGTTTATAATCTCATGTGTTTCATTAAACAAACTAAGTAGTTTCAGCGTCTGGAAAGGTGGGAGGAATCTCTTCGATTGACCCCCAATAGTTATCACAATGGGTCGACAGGCGCATAAGTGCACTCGATCAAGTTACACCGTGTTTCAGTAACCTAACTGCTAATAACATTCAACATTGCGTATATATAATACCTTTTAGGTTTTATATAAACTGTATTCTTAGCTTTGGCATTAGTCCATTCAAAATGCGTTTTTATTTTACAAAACGAAAATAAATTTAATATATCATCAAACTTTGTATGCACTTTGAAATCTAAATTTAATAAGCTTTTATGCAAAAATAAATCAAAATTCGTTGTCTCCGCTATACAATGTCATTGCTGCGAAAAAGAAATGGTAGATATCCCAGCAGCAAATTTTAAGGCTATGGAAACGAAGAGATTAAGTGAAAATTGTGCTTTTGGCGTCTGGATTCTTCGCAATATATACGGCGATGCTATGGCAAAGGCGTTTTAATTTCACTTTCAAAATTCTATTGGTTATTGCAACCCTACTACACGCACGCACATTTCAAATTTACTCATATTTTATAACAGCAGAATTTATCATACATTCGAATTTCTTAGTGTTTTCTTCCTGAATGACTGAAGGATCAACCCCCAGCCTGAACCACTGAAAATAGAGAAGTAGAAACTTGTAGTGTGTGTTCTGCGTATGACGTAGGCATCCGATAAGAAAGAATTTTCCTTGATGTGGACTTGGGAGCGATCAATTCGAAAAATTTGTATTTATTACGATTTACATAAAATTTAGGGCAGATTACTTGTGAAAGTATTGCAGTGAAATGTAATCGATTCTAGAGTTCAAACATGTTGCTTTCAAGGAGAAACTGTATTTAACACTAAACGTACCAAGCACGCTCAAATGACTCTTAACAAAGATATCAACCAGCAGATCCTTAAATGCTTGTAGTGGTCGTCATCGAAAGAGGGGTCTCTAATTCAAGGCTTTTTTGGTTTTTTCATTGGAGAGTATTTTTCATGAGGTGTTTCGCATTCCCACACCTTTCTGACCACTTGAATAGCAGACGAAAACTTTCTTTAATGGCATGACATGAAGGAGCTCGGAGGAAACTCGCTTGAGCGGTTACAAAGCGCCAATTATATATACTCGTATATTGATGATCCAAATAAAGACCAACATTTTTGTTTTCATTTTTGACAATGTGCAAAATATCGCAGTTTGTGTTAATTTAAATTTTCTATGAAAACAAAAACATTTTAATATGAAGCATTTTTGAAAGCGAAGTTAAATAAAGATTTCCTAAAAGTATAGAAGATTTTTTTTTCTCTTTTTCAAGGCTTACGATTTAAGGTCTTTTATTTTAAAATCAGAGACGTGTTTAAAACAGTTAAAATTAATTTTACTACAGATATTTTCACCACGAAAGTGTGTGCCAAAAATATTTGTATTCAATTCACTAACTTCAATATATACGTATACATACATTTTTATGCATTTTGACCATGAACATAATGGCGATAAAATTATGACTGCTTTACTTGAAATAATTTTACTTCGAATCTAACCATTATCTCTATTCCGTTGAAATCATTCGTTTAATGCAAGGAAAATTGTGCTTGGGGCATTTTTAACTGCAACTAAAGGTTGTGTTACATTCATGCTGCATATCTACATGTATATGCCCACCTAAAACTGCATATTTAAGTGCAAACATTCATTAAGGTGCTCCATTTATGGGTACTAAATAATATTGCCAATTTGGCAAGTTGAGCTCTCTATTATTGTAGTTATTCACTTATATATTCACAAAAATTAAGTAAATCAATTTTTAAACTGAATTATCATACTGTAAGCACAAAACTATGCTAGCATACACATACAAATACTCGCACAATTATATTTGAGAGCAACCCTAATATTTCTCAAATAAAACCCAGCGGCATTTCTTGGCGCATGCATATAAATTCAAGCATTTTAGTTAACTACAAATATACAAATGTAAAAGGATGCAAATACTTGAATGAAGTGAACATGAGTGTGCCCACCTCAACTAAAGGACCCAACATCGTTTGCGGCATAGTGTTGAGTCGGTTGAGTCGCCAGAATAGCCGACATTGTGGTCCTTTTCATGACCTGAGGCTCATACCTCTTTGTGAGGGAGTTTGAATGTGTGTGTGTGCTTAACGTTGTCGAGAGTCAACATACCTATTAAATACTATGCATATACATATTTATTAGTATATATGTAAATAGTTTTCTTTGAAATTTCTTTCTTTGGCACTGGCAATGTAGCGTTATTTGCAGGTGACTGCCTTTTGGGTTCCTTGTTTTAGTCTCTTTAGAAACTAAGTGCCGTTAAGTACTTTAGAAAAAAAAATATTTTACATCAGCTTATTCGAAGGTTTGAAATCTTAAAACTTAATGTGCCTGAAACTGAAAAGTTTTCCAATATTCGCTGATATTTTGAAAAGCCTGATCTTCCGGTAGATGTCATTTTTCAAGCTGCAAGTTTTTTATATTTGGCCAGTAACAACTACGCCAATAATAAATATGGACCGATAGTCGCTTTAACATTACTTTGAAATTATTAAAATTCACTGCAAAAAAGGTGAAAACCTGACAGAAGCAGTTCGTAAAGCTAAAACATTTACCTATCGCCGTGAAGCTTCTTATCAGAACGCAATACAGAATTTGGTGGTAAAAATGGAGCCGTTGGGACAAGTAAGTGACGTGAAGAATAAACGACGTGCACGTCGCTCAAGAACAACTTATACTATTGCTGCTGTAACCCAAAGTGTTGAAGAAAATCTAGGCTTATTCATTATTCTTCGTTCTTTGATATTGGGCATTCCACGAACGACATTACTCCATATTTTGCATAAAGATACGGTCTTATGGCTTATAAAGTTCAGTTAACACAAGAACTCAGCCGGCTGATTACCAACAAAATACTGTTTTTTTTTACTGATTGCGTCCTTGAAATGCATGAAAATGATCCCGAATTTCATCGAAAAATCATTTCCTCCTCGAAGGTTACGCCAATATACAAAACTGTCGCATCTGAGGCTCGGATTCTACCATTTACAATCTCTAACTGTTTGGTGGGGTTTATGGTCCGGTGTTGTAATTACGCCTCGCTTTTTCGAAAATAGGGCGTTTATTTTTAACTAGTCGCTACGTGCCACACAAACAAGTCAAGTATCGAGCTTTTAAGAGAAAAGTTTCCGGGCCGTGTTATCTCTCGAAGAGCTATTCACAATTAGAGAACAAAGATCTTGTGATTTAACAGCTTGTCAAGAACTCAGAGATGAAATCCGTGAAGCTTTTGAGGGCATACAGCATTCACTTCTCGATTGTTTAGGGGAAAATTTCTTAAAAAAACTGTGGCAGCTATTTGGCTGATATTGTTTTCCATTATCAATGGCATATCTTCCTCTTTACATTCAAATAAACATCCGATCATTTAACTCAAAGACTGGCATTTTCCTTTGAATATCAAAATAACACCTACAATAGAAAACCCTGTATTATATAAGCTTTTTCGAAAGTTTAAGAACTTAAAGCTTAATGTGTCTGAATATCCAGAAATGCTTTGTATTTTATATAATTTTCCCGTCACCTGTTTTTTTAGTAGAAATAAGGATAACTTCTTGACTCACTTCGCTGCCGCTTCTCTCTTTTTTGATGACAACTACTTGTATGTTTGTAAGTTGTCCAAGTCTTCCGCTGAACTCTTCTGCTGAAATAGCAACTTTCCGCACTCGAGTACAATGTCAAGAGTCAAGTGTGCATAAAAATAATTGCATTTGCTTAGACCGTTTGACAGTTTCATACTAAAATATGTTTGGATGGAGGTGAGTCTTAGACAAGCGTCTATTATTTATTTTACAATTGAATATAGTCTTT